TCAAGTGTAAGGATATGTTTAAAAATTCAGACTACAGGTCCTTTTTTGTCTCTTTCTACCAGTTAGATGAGTTTCTTGTTCTATTTCTACTCAAGAAATTTGCCACTGATACTGACATTCTGAAATATGCTGACTGGAGGATGAATATTGTTATTTCAGCAGTTGGGCTTTCATTTAATTATGTGAGTGTCACTGGTGTCTGGGGGCTGCTCCTGTGATTGGTGTTCTTTATACGAATCGTCCCAGTCTGTCTTCATAGATAAGATAAAAATATTTCACTGAAAAATAGAGCAAACTGATTTTAGATGATTCAGTCAGACAGCGTTTTTGGCATGATTTCACCTAAGATCAGTAATGATACTTTTTTTTGCCTAACTTACTTTACCAGCTGTCTCACCTGAAGTAACCTGCACCACACAGTAATGTACATTTTTAATTTTATTGCTGTTTTACCTGTCAGTTCTATCAAGACTACGTCATCCAGAACCGATATTCATACTACTTACTCAACAAAAAAATGGTTGCAATTTTGTCGTTATTGAATTTGTTGAGAAACATACTTATCATTTTAATAATGTTCTTATTGTTAAAGGCCATGAAGCTATGTGAATGTATCCCAGGTAATTGAGACTGATTTCAGCTTAAATCAATGCTTGGGGGCAGGTTCAGGACAAATTAGACTGTAATCAACAGTGATTTGTCTGTACTACATTACTGTACCTCAGAGTTACAGTGGAGGCTATCAGAAATATGATCTAAATATAACATTTGCTGGAGTAACACTGGCCACAGAATTAAATAATTAATTGGATGAGTGTCTGAGTGAATGTCCTCTATCTCCTTCTACACAACTACAGAAAGGGCCTGAGGGTACAAAGGGGTACAGTATGTGGAGGTGGATGAAATCTAGACCTTTGTCTTAGCGCCTTGTTGGCAGACCTGGCTTGTCAGGAAGCACTGAAATTGTTGAGTAATGTCGGAACTGCAGCACACTGGGCACATTAAGAAGTATTGGTAGCTTTTCAGAATTCATGACAACCGGAATGGCTCCACACTCTTGATAAGTCCCTATCAGTCAGGCAGGCTTGTACTGTACCTCCAGATCATAGGAAAGTCCATAAAGATAGGAACCCAGTTGGGCCATTCCGCTTGCCTGGTAAGGAAGGAGCCCAGAGTTTGAGCCTCACCCCCTTGGCTCTGAAGTCTCTTCCAGATGCACAATGCATGGGAGCATTTCCTGTTCTCCTTCCTAAATGAATTCAATTTTACTTTCCAGTTGTGAATCCAGGTCCTTGATTCAAACAGGATTTCTAATTTAGTCCCCTTGTTGACCCTATTTGTGTATACAATGGAATATATTTATGTATATTGTAAATATTTGTAATATATTTGTATTATTTGTATACTTATATGCAGTGTATATGTATATATGTATTTCAAGTAGGTAGCTGCGTCGGCATGCGTAGGCTTCAAAGGAACAAGTAACTGTTTATTCCATGCTGAAAAGAATAGGAAAGAAACACAATTTTTCAGTTGAAATGTGTTTTTTTGTGCCACCCAAAGAAAGCTCCACAGCAGAAACGTTGTGTTTTTTTACTTCTCTTTTCAGCATGGAATAAACCTTTACATGTTAATTTAATATACAGCACTTGGGTACAATCCCCACACAGTCTCCTTTATTCACGACTGTATATGAAAAGTTCCTTTACCTTGTCTGTATATGAAAATTCATACGAGATCAGCAGTTATTTTAGTGGCTCTTTTTTTATTCATTCTTAGACTGTAATGTTATCTTTGTAGTACTGTGATCAAAACTGGACTCTGTATTTTCTATGCTATCTTCACTTGTTGCCAGCAGTTCTACATTCAGCATTTGAGCCTTTTCTCATTTCTCTGATGGCAGGGTTGGATTCTAGAGTGACAGAATCAGAAAGTTTAAACTCTTTGTTGAACTTTACCCTTAACATGCATATGAAGAACAGGTGTGCATGTTGGTATAGAAACAGAAGAAATAGTGTACACATTAATAATACTGTGCAGCCCTATAAAAGAGCGACATTAATGAGTCCAAGATCATGCAGCCAGATGTAATGAAAGGTTGGAGGTTAAAATTGGAGATTAATTTCAGAAAGCCGTTTGAGCCATAGCAGAGTGCGATTGTACTAAAAAAAGCACGCTTTCCAATTAATTCCACAACAGTTCCACTCTAAACACGATGAACGTAACAGGGATGGAAATCTTCATCACAACATATTAGTTTATCTTTTTTTCTAGACCAGTGGTAGACAACCTTTGTACATTTATTTTCCCTGCAGCCAACAGAAAAACCTACCTACTATCACACCAAGAAGCGCTACTTTGTTTTCAGTCCTACCATCCACAGTGATGAAAACAAAAGTACTGTATGGGAATGGTAGGCAGCAAAAACAGACCTGTTACAGCAGGCTTACATACAGTATTTAAATCAGTATTTTTGACGTTTTACAATTAGAAATCGTTTGTCCATTTTTTGGATGCTTTTCAGTTAAGGATTAGTTTATAGCAGTGTGGACCCTATGCAGAAACCTGAATGAAAGCTGGGGACATGGTCGAGTGGTCAAGCACAGGTCCATAAGCCATAGGTAGTCTAGCCAAACACAGGGAGAAACACCGTGTGGAAGTCGAGAGTCCAAACCAGAACAAACAGTAGAAAGCCAAAACCAAAACCAGGAGACAAACCAGGGTCAGGAAGCCAATTTTCTAGTAGTGAGACGCAGGAAAATCTTGGAGGAGTGCCTCTTACCAGGGTATACCCAATACTGAGCAGGGAGATGTGTGTAACCCAGCCTTGAATAGGATGAGGTTAATTGACTAATTAGGAACAGCACTGGAATGCGAGGTGGAACGATGACTCCTCCGGGGGCGTGACGTAA